CCGGGATTGTCAAACTACTGATCGATGGCCAGGCCTCGCCTCTTACATGTGATGCTGCCAGCATCGATCACAAGCTCATATTTTAAAACAACTCATTCAGGAGCAGTCCGCACTTCCTTTTTTCCTTTTTTAAAGAAAAAGTGGGCATTGTGCTGCCTCAGCACAAAAAAAAAAAAAAAAAACACTTTCTTGCAAGACAGAATTTACTCTGACTTATGACCTCCTGGTTTTCTACATAACACTTCCATTTCCCCTTTTTTCTTTTTTTCCCGTTGTAAACATCTCACTATACAGCGCTGCCACACATCGCTGTGATTTCATCAGGAATTTGGACCAAGTTGCAGGCAAGACCTTTCTAAGGAATTCCCAATTATCAGTGTAGTAAAGGCGTGTGCATTGCTGGTATTCAGATAGTGGAAACATTCAGATTCAGAAGACTTTATTTATCCTCGAGGGGCAATTGAGAGACTGACCTTGCCGACCATACATACAATACACAATGGCCCTGTATGGTGGCTTCAGGAGTGTCAGAAAAGCATCCATTCAAAATACATTAAGTGCCACAAACAGCTTTCCTTGTTTGGAAATGACTGGACAATGATCGTGCACAATGACCGCTGAAAATTTTAAAGATTTATTGACTATAAATGTAGAGATTAAATGATGAGAGAGTTAAATATGATCGGCAGGACTGACTATCTGTCCTGGTGTACCACTCCTTTTGCCCTATGACAGCTGAGATCTGGCTTAAAGAAGGCCTTTAAACAGTGACTATGCACATAAGCATGACTTGTTCACATACAGTTAACACAGAGTCTGTGTTACCTTACTTAACAGAAATCTGTCAGTTTTACTGCACTTTTTGAACATTTGACAAACAAAAGTGGATTTTATCCTTAAGTAAAAAAAACTGACGGGCACAATATTTTATGCTGAAAAAAAACAACAACAAAAAACTCTGAACTTTCGTTGGACGAACTCTTAAGACATTTGATGGATACCTGCCCAAAGACCAAGAAAAAAGGAACAAGGATAAGCTGCTGTTAACGTTTTTACCACAATCTGGGTGGTACTCATGTTTGCTTGAAAACCTTTATTGGTTTTAACCACTTTGTCACTATTAGTTTAAAGATTAAATATTTATTAAGTTTAGATAAGCTTTAGTTTTACATTTTTAGCTTTCAGCAGAATTATCCAGACAGTAAGCAGCTGCCTTTAGGGCCACAAATAGCATTAAATGTATATGCAGTAGTGCTCCCCAAGATCCTGTTAACCATGATATACACATAAGAAACCGATCAATTATAGTTATTAGCTCTAATTTCAGTTTAGTTTCCATTCGGTTAGTTTCCAAAGTGGGTTTTGGTCATTTCCGTTTAGTTTTGGTTTTAAATCACCATGATGTGGGTGGTGTTTGTCAGTGGAAAATAGACATTACAATACAAATATATCTCCTCATGCTGTAGAGGAATCTTAGCTTCCTGATCCTTGTTGGTTTGGCAAATTTAAACACACCGTCGAAAAGTAAAAATAATAATAATTCTTGTTCAAGTAAAAAATTGTTTCAGCTAGTTTTAGTCTTTTTCATCAGTCCAGCTGTTTTTATTTTCTTTACACATACTTTTAGTTTTTAGCTTCTTTTTAATAACCTTTATTAGAAATTCCTAAATACATTTATCTGAAAAGATGAAATCAGAGCATGTTTGGCTTTTGTTGCTTGAAAAATAACTCAGCTGACTAATTCATTTTTATGATGTTGTTTCCTGAGTTCTATAGATAACAAATACAGCCTAAGCATGACTATTAAAGCCTGAATTGTGTCATTACTGTGCTGACAACCCTCTCAGTGCGTCCTCTAGCCAACATGGCCAGGTGGCCCACTTTGCATACGGTAGACGCGTCCTTTTCGCAGAGGTTACACAAACATGGCTCTGATTTGCATGAATGAAAAAGGGTTTTGAAAACAGCTAAATATTCCAAGTTTTCTAATCAAAAGATCAATCAGAATAAACTGAACTGAGGTATGTTAATGCGAATCTTGTCTTGTTTTTAGAGGCACTTCCTGACACACAGAAAAGGCATTTCCAGGGAGTCGGTCTTCAGAGTCAGCAGGGCAAACAGGAAGCATAACTCTGACCCATCAGTGTGTCATATGCCACGCACGCACAGCTCGAAACGCGCTCTCAGACCAACAAAAGTCACTATCAAGTTGGAAAAGTGGGGCAGAGATCTGTCCTTGGTTAAACAGAGCTCTCACCATCTGCTTCAGCCCGCTGAGCTGCACTATAGTCCGCATAACCCCAAAGTCCCGATGACACAAGCACAGAGAGAAAGAAGCAGGGATGGAAATGTGAAGGAGGAGTGCAGAAAAGACGGGCCGATTCAAGCTGAGGCATGTTGATATGCGCGTGTTTTCGAGTGTGTGCGTTTCTATCAGACACAGAGAGCAGGAGAGAGTGTCTGCAGCAGACAGAAAGGGCTTATGAAAAGTGCACTCGCTTCACAGAGAGCTGGCGACGTGTGCTGAAAAGCTTAAAAATCCCTCTTTTTTTTTTGACGTCAGCGCTTCAAACAAGGTGCTCGACTAAAATACAGAGGCAGGATCAGACGCACGCCGCAGAACTTTTTGTACAGTTTAGTTAAAGTCTGAACTAAATTTACATCAAATACTGAGCTGCGGCCCGTCAGCATCATCCACTCCTGCTGCACCTTTTATGTACAGCCACGCACACATAAAGACATCAGAAGGCAGCCGCTGAGATGTTCTTGCGAGTTTTCAGCTCATTAGTTTGGAGGGGGTTGAGTCCTATGACACCATTTCGGGAGCATCTTCTAAAGATCTACACGGCAAAAAAAAAAGAAAAAAGCATGCGTTATCAAGCTCAATCTACAAGTAATTTTTGAGAAAGTAGAAGAAGAAAAGCCTATTTTACTAGTTTTAATGTGATGAAATCTGATGAAATCGGGCTGGTTCTAGTCCCCAAATGCACTAACTGCAAGTCACTTTGGACAAAGCACAAACAAACTGAGCAATTCATTTAAGGCAGCAAAAACGACGGAAAAGAATAAATAAAGGAAGGAAGGAAGGAAGGGGCAAAAACTGGAAATTAGTAATCAATATTGTTACGATTAAAAAGTTTTAAATAGTTTCTCTTAACCCCTCTACCAGTTGTGCACTCTTCATGAGCCTAAGGCTTCCTGTTAAAAGGGAGTTCTTCCTCCCCACAGTTGCCAAACGCTTGCTTATATGAGAATCAGCTGATCGTCGAGTTTCTTTTTCTACATACAGATATAAATTTATCTGTGTCGCACCAGCTTAAATAACTTCAGAGCTCAACACAAAAAAGCAAACCCATCTCGACCACAAGATCTGAGTGCGAGCGTTTAAAACGAGGCATGCTGATAAAAATGAACTTACAGCAGACAAACTATGATTTAAGTGACTATTTTAATTTTAAAGTTTGTCAGTATTGCTTCACTGTGGGAAATCACATTGAGACCTCTCGTTCAACAACTGGCTGTAGCACAGAAAATCCCATAACAAGGAAATTCCCACGTTTAGTTCCACAGCACTGCTTTTCACAGGAAACAAAGAAAACGAAAACTCTCAACTTTATGGCAAAAGTGGCAAGAAAAGCTGCTTGACGGCCTCAAAAATGAGACAAAGTAGTCAAAGCTTTGCCCTGCAGCATTTGTGCAGGCACCCTGCCGCAGGGCAAAGTTGCCTAATCTTGCGAGGACAAGGAAGAAAACAAAATTACAGGGAGTCCTTGGGGAGTACAGCTGGAGAGGACACACCCTCTTTAGCTGATATGGGTGGGTTGTCTTCCTGCTGAGAAAAAAAAAAGTGGGCTCTCTTTTCACTGCAAATGTTTGCCTGTCACATTGGTGCTCTGTCTTTTTTAGCAGCGGCTCACCACATTTGCTAGTGCCCTAAAAAAAGCAAAGCCATTGGTGGTTATTAGACTTTGTAATGAAGTTGCAGCATGGTAATCACGTCACATCACATCCTGGCCCACATTTATTCTAGAAAAAACAGCACGCAGACACAGTAATACTCCCTGTATTAGGTTACAGTAAATTAGCTGCCTTGTTATGAAAAAGAAACCTAGCAGAAATTAAAGCATGAATAATCTGAATGAGGGATTTCAAAAAAAAAAAAAAATCAATACTGCCAACCTTTATTGACCAACTAACAAGGACTTTATAGTCTTCTCTGCTTCACAACCCAGCTCCAAGCCAACTATATTATCCTGAACAAGCTGCTTTCTGCACATTCTATGATTTTACAGTACATTTAACAGTTTAGAAGTAATGCAGCAACAATAAACATCAGAGCATTTGCACTAAGTGCTCGCAAGTCCATAATGTAGACAGTATAGCATCACTTTAACGTCCCTGAAGTATACCAGTGGGGGGCTTAAACTGTTTTTGTGGTATTAAATGGTGAGTTTATTGACCTTAAGGAATGTAAAGGGCTGCTACGTTCATGTGGACTTGTAGTTATACTGTGGCTTTCACTTTAACGCACGTAAACCCAACTCACTACTAAAGCAACGAAACTGGTGTAACTTTGTCCTCGAAATAAAACTATTTTTTAGGATAGGGTGTAACATAATCAATGGCCTGCCTTAAAAAACACACACACACACACACACACACACGGGCCTTCCTTATCAGCAGTGACAGTGGAGGCAGTTTAGAAGCGAGCCAGTGTACTACTAATTTTTTTGTTAAAAAAGAAAAAGTAGACACACCCTCTGTGTAAACGGAATGAATGTGATCAATGGTGCGGGGCAGACGGGGGCTCTTTAAAACGTCCCACGGCCGTAAAAGCCCCGTGGGTAAAGTGTTATCACAGCTCCGAGCTTTTAGGGATCATTTGACGAGCCAGTCCACTTCTTTATCCACGTTTCCTGTCCCAACAACCATTCAGTCCGGAGCTTTCCGCGACAAAAGGCGGACCACAGATACAACAACCCTGTGGCTCACTCACTTACCTGGACATAATTGTTCTCGCAGTAGTCTGCTACTCTCGTCAGGTTTTGGTAACTCTCCACGAGCGCTCTTTTACCGGCCGGAATCTCTTCCTCTAACAACATTTGTAGCTCTGCCATCTTAACATCTCTCCGCAGAGCCTCCCTTCCCTCTCTGCCTTTCCTTTGATTGAAACAGCCACCAGCCCAGCTCTGCCTCAAAAAAAAAAACAAAAAAACCTTTGCCTGCTATTGTGGGATTCCTGCCTGCCCTCGCTTTGGCTTAACGTCAAAGCGAAGATCGTGTGTACTAATGAGGAGGATCACTACATCCGCAATATTGTGTACGAACATTTTACTCTCGATTTTATTTCATTTTAATTCAGCACAAGGAACAGGAGAAACAAGTGTATTTGAGAGTATTTGAGATATATTAGGAAAACATTTGTAGAAAAAAAAGCCAAATTGATAATTTACAGTGAATATATGTATTTGACCAGTTTTACTTAGAAATTTTAATTCACTTTGGATGAAAATGGTAATTTTGGAATAAAGAAAGTAATTTTAGGTGAGTTATTATTTTATTTTTTGAAGGAAATGGTGCAGAATAAAACGTTATCTTACTGCAGTATATTCTACAATATTCTAAATGGCAACATTTTTATAACAACAGAGAAAATGCTACATTTTTAAAATTAATAGAACATTTTTAGACATTTTAAATTCATTGTTGTGACAGTACTGAGCAAAATTTTGACCCAGCCTTCATTTCTAGATATTTTTCCTGGAAAATGTCAAACATGTTATTGAAACATGAGCGAACATACATGCGAAATATAGCATGAAAGACAGAACCAGTTTGTACAATTATAATACGCTTGATTGTCTTCTTTTGAATGTCTTTTTGATGAGTCCAGTCTCTTTCGGGGTTTTATCTTCTTTCTTTTTTTTAAGGACAAGACTTCCAGACACTGTTTATCTGCTGTTGATCACTTTTTAGGCCTAGCACCTCTTCTTTTGTCTTCCACTTGTCCTCAATTTTTAAGGGTGCACTGCACACTGTGCTGAGTTTTTAGGTTTTTGGTTCAAAAATTATATTTATGCCTGTCAAACTGTGTTATCTTTGGGATTTTTTAGATGAGACTAAAAGTAAAACAAGTGCCTAAAGACACTATTTAAATTTAAAAATTGGTTCTTTACCGGTTTGTCTGTTATTCATTCATTTTCATTTCATTCATTCATTTATTTGTTCATTTCAGGCACAACAAAAATACATATATTGAACATAAAGTGCACAAAAAGTTATGCATAGATACAACAGTGGGTCCTCTCTTGAGTTGGGCTTCTTTCCTTATGCTTAAATGATGCACAGGTCAGTTTTATAAGGGGTTTAATGAACAGGAAAAAAATCCTCAGCAGCCCATACCCAAAGAAAAACTTAGAAAGAATTCAGAAAGCCTGGGGAACTTTTGCTCAAGAGCACTTAAAAATAATAATACAAGAACATCTGGCTACTTGAAAGCAAAATATAAAGAATTTTGATTTGATTTGAAGAAAATATTTATTTTATATATGTTTTAAGCATACCTCTAGCCCTGAGTTCATACTGAACCACAGATACAGAAAGATACATACCTATACAGATGTGGGAATATATATTAGCAGGGTATTTATATGTAATGTGTATATGTAATGTAAGTCCACTTTACATCAGAATGTATGTCGCGAGGTGTGGACGAGGAATTAGGTAGAAGAATATTGCATGCAGTTATTGTAGGATCGCGTTCAGTGTCGCAGCTTTAGGGAAGAAGGCGTGTTTCAGACAGATAAGATAAAGGATCTAAGGACAAAGTGAGAGCTCTAGCTTTTTTCTGCTATCGACCTATCAGTTTTCCAACGAAGAGGGAGGGGGAAAGAAAAAACATGGATCTGTCTAGAGCATGTTGGGATATGTAGTTTTGCGTGTCGAACTGTCGCGACATGAGTTTGTGTTTTCAGCCATAAGAGCGAAATAACATTATATATTTCACTTCTCATCAGCTTTCTCACTCGTTTGACTTTAATATGTTGTTTTTATATCCAAACCATATTTTCACAGTTTGTTTTGTTTGTTTTCTTCATGTGGACGCAGAGGATTGTGGAGTTTGTAGGCGCCGTCGATATACAACAATAAGACTACAATTCCCACAGTGTGTGCTGTTCATGGCGTCTGGTCAAGGGCTAATGACAAGTCGCCTTCTGACAAACAGATAGGCCCGTGATTTTAACGGTAAGTAACGACGGTTTTAAGCGGTTTTTTTCCTCGAAAGTGTGTCAGCGTAGATACCGTTTAGCGGGAACGACAGTGTCGCTAAAGCTGTGCCACACGTTAAACGTTGTGTCCTAGATATCCAACTGGCTCAGCCTCCTCCTACTGGTGGTCGTAACATATTGTAGACAGTTAACTTTCAAGTATAGCTGGTCGCATTAGCGTCGCAAAAGTCTGCTCGTTTGCAGACGAAAACAAACCAAACTGCTGCTCCGAGCTAGCATAAATGCTATAAACAAACGCTTTTAACGTTTTGTTTTTGCAGTTGTCGTGAGTTTGTTTACTGCTTGCAGGTGTTGTTGTTGTGCTGTCTGCGAGTGACACGATGGAGGTGGAGAGCGTCCGCGTGGAAGATGAAGGGCGCCTGACCCAGATGAGGTTTGATGCCGCCGTGAAGGTGATCAAGAGTTTACCCCCGAATGGTGAGTGAACACCTCACTCGAAGCTCTCTTTCTCTCTCACACACAGACACACATATATACACACACAGGCCAGTTCAACCAGCTCAGCTACCCCCGGGCAGGTGCGGTGCAGCAGCTTGTGCGCTTTAAATAATCCACTTTGTCCCCAAGCCATCACAGATTTGAAAGAAATAGAAATCAGCCACAACTCTGCACGTGGAGGGTAAGGCTTTTTTATGTGATGAGAGTTTTCTTTTCCTCAGGTCCCTTTCAGCCCTCCAATGACATGATGCTCAAGTTCTACAGCTACTATAAACAGGCCACTGTGGGACCATGCAGCATACCCCGACCTGGCTTCTGGGATGTAGTTGGAAAGGCGAAATGGTAAGTTAGGGGGCGGTGGTGGTTGTGCGCTTAGGATTCCTTCAGAACTCAATTCTATGGGGAAAAAAATTTGATTTCAGGGTATAAAAGGAATAATTTGTGCCAAGAGCAATCAGTATACTAAATAATGAGATGTTGTGTTGCTATGATTTGTTTGATTTGTTTATGGCTTGGTGAACCAAAGACAATTTTCCCTCGATGTGTGTAATAAAGTCTATTCTACTCTATTTCTCCTGCACTAATGGTGTAACAGGAAGATGCATGCACTTCCCCACGCTCCTTGTTTTAAATCTATGTGGATCAGTGTACTTTTAAGAATAGTCCCCCAGACACAAACCCTGTTGCTGTAATGTTTTATCATATTTTATTATTCTCTGACGATCACATCAAGACAGCTTGTGATATTCAGAAATGAAAATCTCACTCTGTTAAGCTCAGGCTGTGTCAGGTGATCTCTGGACTCATTAAAATATATCAGTTACCTCTTACCCACAAAGCTGGACAGTTTCTCTCAAGGAGGGGCTTGTACCTGTGTGTTTTCTCAGTCCTTACACATGCTGGATACTGTCTGTCATTAAGCATTGAGTTTGATCACAAACCTTGAAGCCCTTGCTCACCATGATCTGCTTTGTCCTTCTGTAGACTCAGATATAGCTATATTCTTATTTGCAAGGCAGTTTTTGATCTACTAGGTTGGTCAAAAGAAGTGCGGGATGTTACTGTTTTTGGTCTCAAGACTTATTCCTTCTGTAGTCATTTAAATGTTTAGATTCAGATAACTTGATTAATACCAAAAAGGTCAATTTGTTTGTACCTGTTAAGCATCTGGTCTCATAAATGAATTTTAAAGGACTTTGAGGCAGTTGCTTGAACTCTCCTGCCCTGTTTTTGGCCTGGTTTCTACGCAGCTGCTGATTGCACCGCTGCCTGTTCTGCCCAGGACACCCTTGAAAAAGTTATTTTTAATCTTAAACATGATATTTTTGTGGTTAAATAAAGGCTAAATGAACACATTTCATGGGTAGGTACAGTTTCTAATGAATGTTTAAGTGTCTGTCAGACTGTGATCCAAAGTTAGTAAATTAGTTTGTGTCCTCAAATAGTCTTTCCATATTGACTCAGCTGAAAACTGGAACTGGCACAAAGGCCTTCGAACACACTTTTGCTGACACATGACATTCTCTTCTGTGTGTTCCACCTTATAAAATTATATAACAGTGCATGTTTTCTTCTTTCGCTTGCTTTTATTTATTTTATTTATGTATTTATTGTGATAGGGATGCCTGGAATTCTCTTGGAGAAATGTCCAAAGAAGAAGCAATGGCATCCTATGTTGATGAAATGAAACTGGTACGTTTGCCGTCCATCTCCCACCTCTTGAAGCACCTTTTTAATCTGTCCGTGTTTCATGTCCTTGTGTGTAATCAAATGACACAAGCCATGTGAAGAGTAACACAGATACATTGCCTTTACAGTCATCTGAATCAGGAATAACCCTGTTACACCAAATAATTTATGCCGCAATACCGGTACTTTGAATTTAAAGCACTTCCTGGTTGTTTGTGACTGTGGGATAATATTCTCATTGTGCTCGCTCTGGATTTGGTTTTCAGATCCTAGAGGGGATGCCCATGACTGACGAGGTGGAGGAGCTGTTAAAGGTCCTCGGCCCGTTCTACGAGCTGGTGGACGAAAAGAAAAAGATCGCGCAGATATCAGACCTGAGCACAGGTTGGTGTTTCCTCGCCAGGTGGATTGCCCACACGTTTTACTTTGTGATGTGGAGTTTAACCTCTTTTTTTGCCTCTTGTTATACGCTCAGCCCGTTTGACTCAGTTTGCTAGGCAACTGGAAGGCAAGTACATTACTGTGTAAACACACGGGTCTGTTGATATACTTTACTTCCTGTCTGGTGTTGTAGCTCAGATGCTTTGAGTCCTTATTAGCAGTCATAGAAAGCTTGCTTGTAGCTTACCACAGTTAAGGTTCCCCTTACAATCAGAAATGGACACATTTCATTTTAATATGTTAACATCTTCAGCAAGTATTCGTGAGCTTATAAAATTCTTTCTGTTTGTGTGTGTGTGTGTCTGTAGGGTTTGGCACAATGATGAATTCAATGGCATCAAAAAGTGTCGCAAAGAGCATTGTTAGAAACATGGAAATGAACGGCACTCTGGAGACACGGCCTGCAAGGCT